TGCCAGACGCTGAGTAAGACAGCTTCAACAGTAGAACCCCATCCGCGGTACTTGTGCTACTTGGAGGAAAGGTAAATTGGGTAAAATATACATATATTCTGACAAGCGTTCTTATAATAAGCTACGAAGGAATTCTGAGTTGGACATTCGGACACAGTTGGATGATATTTTCTCTATTGGATTGCAATTGAAGATGATGAAGGACTTGACATCATTTACCAGATGCGGGACGATGCACCCAGTTGTCACCCGATATTTGCAATTAGGTTGGAGGCCATTGCCAATTGCTATTAGGTGCTATTAGGTAGGGGGGCGGAGCGGCTTTAAAAACAAGTCCTTTGACGTTCTTCGGCTGTTGCCTGTGTGCTGTCATGGAATATCGAACGTCGTTGTTCCCCCCCGCAGTGTGACCGATTCGCCAAGGGTCCTCGGATGTCCTCGGTGTGGTGCGATCGCCTAGGCGCCTTCCATGTTGAGAGCGAGAACCGCTTCGCCTAAGCAAGGCCCTTCAAGAGGTGCTCGCCTAAGTGAGAACACACGGAGACGTGAGGAAACAGCACCCGAGAATCCATGTGAATCCATATGAATCTCCCCACATCAATCAACAAAAGTGGAAGTTCTTCCGGACCTGGAGAGAGGTTTTGCACCTTTTGCAAAGTCCAAACAAAGCCCAGTCCTTTTTGGAACACTCATAGTGCCCTTGCTCCGTTCGTAGCGATGCCCTTTGTTCCTAGTAGCGTTCTTGTTACTAGTAGTAAGGCCCCTAGTAGCTTCTTGTCGCTCATAGAACGCCAACGCCTTTTTGGCCGCTCAGCATCGCACAGGTGCTCCGAGCCTTGGGCGCAATGCCACGGAGGGGCGGAATAGCCTCGCTCGCAGCGCCAGTCCGAGCAAAAGCGCGGAGCCTTCCGGTGGGACGGGACTGGCGCCTTGTTGGGACTTGTGCTTTCGCCTGCTCAATCCAGTTCCAATTGTTTTTGACTGTGAATCCAAGACCCCTCAGTCACGTTTTGAAGCACACGCGCTCATGTTGCATTTGTCCAAGCCAGCGCCCGCGCGCCCTTCATGGGACACACTTGGTGTGCCCTAGCTGTTGGCCCAAATGAAATTAAAGAAGCCAAAGACATCGCATTTGAACTTCAGGTGCGCACAACATTTTTGCAAGTTTTGGCCAACTTGCTATCACTTGCTTTCAGATGACCATGCTCTTGTTGAAACCGTTTTAGTGATATGCCAATGAGAGCCATTTTCGCTTTTGTCCTTCAAGCTCCTTGGCCAGAAGCATATATGTTTTGAGTAGCAATCGCCACTGAGCACTTTGGTGAGGTTGCTAATGTTCTCCATGCAGTGGATGGTGAGACAGCAGCCAAGTTGCGCTTAGATTGAGCTTTAAAAGGGTCTTTGTGTTACAACTTTTCTCAGTTCTCGAACTGTAGTCCTTCGAGCTTAAGGAAGCTGGAATGTTGTCAAACTTTTGGCCACTATGGCGACACCTAGCTGCGACCCACTCTGCACGTTTCGGAACTTGCGGAGTGGGTGTTTTGCTCAGGTTGGCCAAGATGAGATGTGCAATCCCAATATGTTTCCATCATGCAAGATTGGTCTACCCATTGGGAGGAAGAGCCCTGGAACCTCCTGGAAGCTTGGCGGAATGTTGATGAACTGAACCGGGCATTGCAAAGTGCTAAGTCACTAAAATGAGTGGGGAGGGGTCATGGTCCTTAGTGTGGAAAATCGATTATTACTCAAAGCAATGTTGTAAATCAATGCTGTAGCCTTTTCCGCTCTGCAAAAAGAACACTTGGGTCATCGAAATAGACCATCGACCTCTGGCTCTCCGTCCTTCCCAGGTCCAGCAACAGCACCACCTTCGCGGTCAAGGCGAGTCGTGCTTCCTTGCCATGGCGCAGAGGCTTCAGCTACAAGCGCAATGATGTCTATGGTCTTGCCTGGCCTACCTGGACCTCACTGGGGAAAACCGAAGGTGTGTTAGCCATCCACATGGGCCATGATGCACAGATCGTTTTGGCCATTGGAAGCCGCATCCAATGCGTTTTGGAACTGGAAAGACTCTTTGGGAGGCGTTACTTCTTTCCCAAACTGGACGATTTCAACAAAAACTGGCTTACTGCAGCAGAGACCGTTCGGGACCAGTGTGAGTGCGAGGACGGTGCTTGTCCTGCCACCTTTGAATATGGTTTGATTGTGGATTTTGGGATGTACACGCGGTATCAGAGTACCTTGCTTCCGAAGCTTATGGACACAGTCTTTTCTGTAAAAGTCTGGCGAAGTGTGAATCATCATGAGGCGCATGCTCTCATGGCATATCACAGCTCTCCCTTTAGATCAGCATTCATCCTCTCTTTTGATGGGGGCGGCAACGACGGCACCTTCAACGCGTTTCTGGGGCATGGTCTGGACATTGACCGCATCGGGCGTCGCAACATCAATCTTGGAAAGATTTATGAGCGCATTGGCTCATTTTTGCCTGCAGTCACTGGGCTTCCTGCAGTGCTGGATAAGTTTTGTCCAACCGTGCGCAAAGACGGAGATGACTGGTCCGACGGAACAATCTATTGGCAGGCTGAGAAAAGAGAGGGATTTGCTGGCAAGCTGATGGGATACTCAGGAATCAGAGCTCCATCAGCGGAGGCCAGTCGGTGGTTTCGCAAAATGTATCAGAGAGCTGAAGAAGGAGTTTATGACATGCCTGTTGCAGTGTTGCATATGATATGTGATTCAGAAGAGGCCCGGCAGGCAGTTGCGGCATCTGCCCAGGATGAGTTTGCCAAGTTTGTGCAACCTTTGGTTGCAGGCTACTTACTGCAGTTGAAGCTCAAGGGTATCAAGGTGGAAGGCATTGTATTGGTGGGGGGCTGTGCACTCAATGTGCTGACCAACCAAATCATCCGTGAAACGTTGACATCATTTACATCTGAGATGCCCGACAGTAGCAAGCCAAAGGATGTCTATGTGCCGCCTGCTCCGAATGATGCAGGTCTAGCGATTGGAGCTGTGTGGTCTCTATTTCCACCTACTGTGCAACAGCCTTTGCAATACCTCGGCTTTCGGCTGTTTGATTTAGAGACTCTTGGCGAACACGCAAAAGAAAGAGGCAAGGTGGGGAGAAAAAGTAATTGTTGGATCTTGTTGGATGGTTTTGCTGGATTTTCTTGGCCAACCGACTTTTTGAAATCTCATCCAACAACCACAGGTGCCCAGAAGCTTTCAGATCTTGGTGGCCTCGAGTATTTGGCAGAGCTCTTTGCTGGGGGTTCTGCCTGGCAAGCAGATCCCCGAAGCCGAATGAATGCCAAGCCGATCATTGCGGTGGTGCGAGGCCGACAGGAGTTCGGTCCGAGGGCGTTGGGCCATCGTTCCTTGTTGGCCTTTCCCGACGCCGACATGAAGGATCGGATGAATCGCATCAAGTTCCGGCAGTGGTACCGCCCTGCGGCGCCCATGATCGCGGACGAAGCGTTGGAAGAGATCTTTGGGCATAAATTTCGATCGGCCTACATGGAATTTGCGCCGCTGGTGAAGGAGGATGTAAGGAAGCGATTTCCTGGTTTGAGCCATTTTGACGGTACTGCAAGACATCAGTCAGTGGGCAAGGAAGATGAACCCTGGATACATGCCTTACTTCTGGCTGTTGGCAAGAGAACTGGCCTTGCTGCCCTAATCAACACAAGCTTTAATTCCAAAGGTAAGCCAATCACCAACACAGATGCATGGCTAATGCTAGGGAAGACTTTCTTTTGCCCTTTACTCAACTCCGGACAGGTTGTGGTATTATATTTATGGTCTCTTCCGCCATGCACGGATATTTGATTTTCCAAAAAATTTGAGGTTGAAGAAAGCTTGGAGATGCTAGACACTCTGGAAGACTTGGACTTCGTTCTTATCGAGGATGGGATTTTGTCTATTCTTTTTTGAGAGAGTGACTGTTTGACCTCACCAGGATTGGCTTTTCCGACCCCCTGCAGTGTCACTGCCTCAGGTTGCTCCTTTCAAAGACAAATCTGAATTGATATCAACAACAGGTGAATGTTCGTGCCAACCGTGCAACTACGAGGCGCAAACCCATGAAAGAGAACCCTGAAAAACTGGGTGTGACCTATGTAGAGCAAAACTTAACGACAACATAAAATGATATATAAAAAGATTTCATAAATCGGTACGATTAAAAACGAATTATGGAATTATACAGACGAAATATATGATCTAAACTATATTATTATTGGATAATATTGGAGATAAAATTATTTATTAATATATATAATATTTGATATATTAATGTTGAATTGCAATATTATATTAATATACATATAACAATTAATATATATAAATATAATATTCGATATTGTTATTAAATATATGCATTTAGAATTTATTATTATATTAATCGAATGAAATTTTAAAAATTATATAAGTTTAATTCTTCGATATTGAATTCGGGAAATTTTTACGAATTTATAATTTTTAAATTTGTTTTTAGAGGGTTTGGTGCGAGGGTTATTTGTTGGATTTAAGGATTTAATATAATAATAGAAAATTATATTATTAATAAATTCTTTTTATAAAATATTAATTTATCTTTCGTGGCAAACACTTTATTTATGTTAAACAAATTATATTTCGAGAATCTATTCTTTAGCCCCCATCGTCTATCTTTGTTCGATAATTTAATTTCCTTAAAATATTTTAATTAAATGCGTCTAGATTTTAATTAAATGTTTCTAGATTTCTTGATTATAGCATCTGGGTGTATTGGTATAATAATAATTCCTATAATGACCAATGACTAACGAATGGAGAAGTACCATTAGCATCTAATACATATAACCGGCCACTTTGCATCGGTTTTGCTTATGGGGCGCTCTTTGCCCTGGTGCGTAGAAACCAGACCTCAATTGCAGTATATACCCCCGGCCGCCTATTCCAGGTGTACCTAAACCTCTCTCGACCGTATCATATTGTAATTGTGTCCCAACAAACTTAATCCACCCAATATAGACTCGGGCAGACATTTTCGAAATGCGAATACATTCGGACCGCAACAATGTCTTAGACGTCTCCCCAATAAAATCTTGGGATAATTTGCGGCGATTTTAATATACAATTAAAATATATCCCTCATCAAATGCATATTATTAATCCCAAGTATTTCCAATTTGCCCAAAAAATTGCCTCCGATAAGCGAGAAAAGAAGAGAGAAAAGAGAAGAAAGAAGAGAGGAACGAAAAGAAGAAAGAGGAAAAGACAGAAGAAAGGTAAAAGAAAAGAGGAAAAAAGAGAAGAAAGAAGAAAGAAGAGAGGTCAAAAGAAAAGTAAAAGAAAAAAGGAAAAAAGAGAAGAAAGAGAGAAAAGGAAAGAAAAGAAGAGAAAAAAAAGAGGAGAACGAAAGCCGATGGGCGAGGAGAGAGGAAAAAAGAAAAGAAGAAAGAGGAGAAGAGAAAGGGGAATGAAGAGGAAAGAAGAAAATAAAAATTCCAATAGGCGAGAAGAGAGAAGAGAGGAAAGGAAAGAGAAGAGGAAAGAAGGGAGAGGAGAGAGGAGAGGAGAAAAGAAAGGAGAGAAGAAAAGAAAGAAAAGAACGAGGTTAAGATAGACAATAAATTTTAAAGAAAGGCAAGAAGAACAAAACGAAGAAAAACAAAAGGAAAAGGAAGAACTAAAGGAAAATAATAAAGAAAAAGAAAAGGAAAAGGAACAAAAAAAATAAGAAAAAAAATAGAAAAATAAAAATAAACTAAAAGAAAAAGAAAATACCCATTATTATTATTTATTACTAACTATTATATTTACGAAAGCTACGACTATTATTAATATTATTCCTCCTACTAACGTTATTACTATTACTATTATTACTACTACTACTATTACTACTACTATTGCTATTATTATTACTATTGCTACTACTATTTCTATTGCTAATATTATTACTATTATTACAAAAGAATAAGGAAAAAGAAAATAAAAAACAAGAAGAATAACAAAAATACAACAAAAGATTAATATTCATCCTACGACTATTATCATTATTACTATTACTACTATCATTACTACTAGAAAACAAAAAAAGAAAACCCAGAGAAAAGGAAAGAAAGAACAAAAGGCAATACTACTACCACTACTACGACCACGATTATTAATACCAACATAATTCTCATTAGAAAAATAATTTCGGAATGCAAAAAAAAATAGAAAAATCGATGGGTTTTACGTTAAACTAAAAAAAAATATTATTAAATTATTTTATTGTACCATTATTATTCCTTCTCTCTCCAAACGACCATCAATACTACAACGACTACCACTACTATTACGCCCCAATAATTATAATAATAATTAAATATAACCATATATAAATATAATACATTATAACCTCCAATAACACTCGTTCGTATTCCCACATTCGTAATTATATTCATTTCTTTCTTATATATAATATATCATTCATCATTCCAATAATATAAATAAATAATTTTTCGCAATCTTAAAAATCTATCCATCAAAATTCCGAATTAGTTAAATATCATATATATATATATTTCCTTTAATATATATTTTGCAATATAATAATCTTAAATAATATTTATAAAACATCCATCAAAATCCGAATTAATTATATATATTTTTCATTATTTTATTTTATGCTATTTCATTAATTCATTTTCATATTCATCTTCATTTCATTCTTATTTTCATTCTTATAGATATTATCATTTTCCCCATTTTCATTTTCATTCTCATCATTCCCACACGTTCATTCTCATTCTCACTCTTCACTCTCACTCCCTCTCTCTCTCTCTCACTCCACTCCACTCCCCTGCCCTACGCTGCGCTACGCTTCGCTTCGCTTCACCTCGCCTCACCTCACTCTCACTCTCTCTCCCACTCATTCTCTCACTCATTCTCTCACTCATTCTCTCACTCATTCTCTCACTCATTCTCTCACTCATTCTCTCACTCTCTCACTCACTCACTCACTCACTCACTCTCTCACTCTCTCACTCACTCACTCACTCGCTCGCTCACTCGCTCACTCACTCTCACTCACTCACGCACTCGCTCACGGTACCGCGAGCCAATGTCAAGCTATATAGATACATAAGGGGTTGATCTCTAGACTTTCTGCTGCTACACCTCTAGACCTCACCCACACTGTTCGGGATCTTGCCGGGATAATTTAAAGTCTACTTTCAAATATTGTTCAACATATGTGTCATCCTAAATATATTTATCCAAAAAACACACTTATTGATTGATAATTTTCGATAACACTTCCAATACAATGACGCCCCATCGACAAACATACAAACACGGAACTATATAGTCGGAGCTATATATATCGTAGTCTGTATGTATATATATGCGAGTGGATCTTAATCAGCGAAGTTTGAAGCTATCACTGACGGTCCATAAGCGGCGTAGCGTCGGAACGGAAACCGCACCTTTTCTAGTCGCTTGATCCTTGAGCCAAAGTACATATGGTACATATATATGTACAAGTTGCACTGTACGTGTCGCTGCACTTCCATTCGCAATATATATATATGTTTTTAAACTATATCGAATATAATTGTCATTTATCTAGAAATTGTATAATTTTGGAATTTAAGAATATAGTTAATATAATGCAACAAATCAATATTGTTTTGTAATAAGTAAAGTATGTTTTCAACCCCTTGATTTGAATGAATATTTCAAATCCATGAAGCCCCAAAGCGGAATTAATGTTGGTGCAAACATGCACCTGCTCCTATTCCCCTAAGTCAAGGATTGCATCGAAACACATTCGCACCTAGGCGCCCAGGTCTCTTCGTGCATCATTGAAATACCTGTCAGCGTTTTTGCTTGTGTGAAGAGTTCACAACGACGAAAGGGATATAGGTTTTTTAGGTTTTTAATCTACGTCTAACCTATGTACAAACCAAATCGGTCTGCCCTCCCTGATTACAGTGGATGCCAGGTAAAGCTCTGTGGAGTCCGGGCGGATGCTGCAGTGCTCGGTATGCACTGATTCGCCTGTCACAGCGCCAGGCAAGCATGGTTCACCATAAAAGCCAATGGTACTACAGAGAATCCTGAGACTAATAGCAATGGCCTCCAACCTACTAGCCATGGCCTCCCCCTAATAGCGATGGCCTCTACCATGCATTCTTACTTCCAGCTCTCTTGGCTTCCACGATTTTCCACTCTTCTTCTATCCTCTATCCTCTCCTTCTCTGCCACACTCTACATTCCCGGATTTGCAATGGGCGGCAGATCAAGCAGCCTTGATGGATTCTGCGATGCCACTGAATCTCAGGTCGGCACCGTCTAGGGTCGTAGTAAGTGAGCTTGTCCAAAAGATCTGCGCCTTCTGCACCCACCTGGCTAAACCGGATGCAAAACATCACCTATGATACAAATGTATATAGTGAAGCAAACGGTGGCGCCATCCGAAGATTTCCATTGAAAGTTGTGTTGAAAATTTGAAATGAATAAACCAACTGGATGAAGTACCTGCGGCAAGATATTCTTGATTTGCGCCCAACAGTGCGCTGGCCACTGAGGCCAGCTGGGCCTAAGCGATGCTGAGGCGCTTGGTGCGTCAACTTTGATGTTTGATAAAGGCTTGGAAAAGATAGCACTGTACCATTTTGAAGCTCAATCAAAAGCAAAGTAGGTGCCCGGCTTGAAGTATGGCAGCTCGGTGATTCCCGGCCACATTTGCTCAGTGCAAGAAGAGTGAGTGCAAATGATATTCTGTACCCTTTCGGCTCTCAGGACGCTACTAGGAACGAAAAGCTACTAGTAACAAAGAGCGTCGCTACTAGGAGCAAGGACGCTACTAGGAGCTCCTGGCCTTACTAGTAGTAACAAGAAGCTACTAGTAACAAAGGGCATCGCTACTAGTAGCAAGGGCACTACTAGTAGTAACAAGTGCCACGCCACTAGGAGCAAGGACGCTACTAGGAGCAAGAAGCATGGAAGTGACTCATTGAAACCCCAAATGACCTTTCATCTCTCGCTGCTTAAAACTCTTGTTTTGAAAGGCAACCACTCTATGATTGGTTCTGGTGTCTAAGCTTCACACCTCAGTAGGCGTCCCAAGCCTCTGGAAGATTTTGAAAATGGTATCAATCTCCTTAGTTCGAGCCAATCTCCAGCTTGTGAATTGTGGCATCTGGCTTTGGAAATCCCAACCCTTCAGCACTGGTGTCCTTCAGAATAAGCTGATACCATCTCGTGTCAAGTCCAGGTACAAGATTGATGCAAACAATTTTGGATGAGGGAATTGAACATTGTGCAGCGGCACATCAAGGACTTTGGATGTGACAGCATGGACCTGACTTCTTCTGTGACCTGACTCGGCTTGCAAGGGTCAGAATCACCCGGAAACTGCGCGCTGCCAATGGCCATCTGGCGGTTGGACGACACTGGATAAACTGGAGAACCGGAGGACCAGCGACCACATCCCTCAAACATGACTGGAGGAGTTAGCTACGCAGCTGTATCTGAACGTCACTCACAAAGCTTTGAATCATCAACCTGCCTCTGCAATCACACAGCCAATGCTCCACAAGTCCACAGGCAAGCTGTATCTGCAGTCGATGTACACTTGCAGCGCTTTATTTTGTGGGACTCATGACTCATGAGAACTTACTTTGCACTCGTGAGGCCACTTATATATATATAAGATTGAGTCGAATCATTTTAAATTGGGTCTCCAGTGACATCAAATGGTGTGGCCATATACTCCAGGATCTCAAGGTTGCACAAAGCATGAAGCAAACAAACATGGCCCATGGCCACATTGATAAGATTGACTGATTGACTACCAAATCTTTGGGTCTTTTCAATAATCCAATAGTAGTTGGATGTAGGTGTTCACCCACGTGGATGACCACACAGGGCCCGAATCAAATGAGGCTGCTGAGGCTGTGGCATTTGGCTACCAAGCAGGATCTCAGGTGGCCGGTACCACACCGTAATCACTTCATGTGTGTACCTGGTCAACTGGTGAGGGCAACACGATGGGAACTGAAGCCTTTGGCTGCTTTTGAGCGCAACCAAAGTAGTTCTTCTATTCTGGACTCTACAATACTCTACATTCTTGCCCAACATTATCCAGCAAATTTATATTGGTGGACAAACACTGTCGGACAAAGTTCGGCAAAGTCTCCCTACAAATTGGATGTGCATTTTTCCCCGCTCTAAGGATCTGCTCCGACCTGTGTCCGACGATCGGCTCGTCCCCTTTTTCTCGGGAGGTGAGCTTCGGCCTGCGCCCGGAGTGAAACCTGAGTGCCCATGGGCCAATGCCACATGAGACCCTCCAAGGGCCCTTGCGAGTGGTTCAAATCACATGCCCGAAATGGAGAATGGCCCTGGAATCCAGATGGATATCCGTGAAGGGAAGGAACATCAAGCGGAAACCCTTTAACAGAAGCTAAAGAGCGCGTGTCCTCTTTTGTGTTTTTCGGTTCCTTCCTTCGATCTGAGCTTCTTTGAACTTTAGACAGTCAATGGTCAAACTGGTGCACATTGAAACATAGGAGGCACACTGCTTGCATTCTCAACATCTTGTCTTTTCTTTTGGCTATAGTTGGACACATTCTGCGATGTGATGCAAGCATGTCAGTCAGAGCACGGCGGAAGGCATGGAAGATGGCCAAAAGTCTGGGGTGGAAGAAACTATAACTAGTGACCTTTACCGAAAGCAATGAAGCCATATGAAGCCATGTGGCCATTCCGCCAAGTGCTTTCCGGCGGAAAAACAACTACAACTTGGACACACCAAACTTTTCATACGGCGCAGGCGGTGGTGTCAAAGTCGGTCGCGGCTTCATGCCAGCCTTGTCGATATCTGACATAAAGTGGACTTTGGGTCATTGTGTGTACGTGTTTGCTTCTTTGATCTTCTTTGTAAATACATCCGTGTGAAACAACGCAAACCGGTAAGTTGAGCACGAGCCTTGCGGAAAATCTCATCAATCAGGGCTACATTCCTCACTGTGTCAGAGGGGCCCTTGCTCAAGTAGGCCCAAGGCATACCCATATTCCTCGGATGCCCACTGCATGCATCTGCCAGCCCCTAGCTCAACCCTCGGAAGCACTTGACTTCAAGCCACTGGTATCTTGCTTTATCTTCTTGCCACTGTGATTCTGTCCACTTTTCTGGTGAGCAATCTCATCTAGGAAGGTCATGAGTTGGAAGTAGAAGGTATCGCCTCGATCAGCTTCAGCCAGGCACAATCCCTGCTCTTCGTTGCTCTTGCAAACTTTTGTTGTAAAAAATGTTCAAAGGCCAAGATCTAAGATTGAAGACCTGCAAAAAAAGGATTAACGAAGTAGCTCTTGTTGGTCTGGAACTCTTGGGAGAAACCTGTTGGTCCTCGAAGAGTTGTGGAACAATCACCAGGATGCCTCAACAGTCTGTATAGAAGGTTTCACCAAGTAACGATTCACCACATTGTCTACTCGCTCCACGTACGTCTCACCACTCCTTCGTATTGACAAAAAAAGCAGTTGGCAAGCTGATATCATGATCGTGCTTGGCTTCAGAATTCCATTGCTCTTTCAAACTGAAACTGGCTTGAACGAAAAACTGTATTACAAAAATGAAAACAATAGTTTCGTCCAAGGGTCTCAGCAAACTGTTCAAGGGAGATTTCGTTAGAGCTTTGCCCTTGGCCTGTAAACCACTCTTGCACACCTCAGCACTGAGCCGGAAGCGCTGAGGTCGATTTTTCGGCGAAAAAGCACCGAGTGGCGAATGATCCCATCTGAGCCTGATATCGTGAACTTCCTGAGTTCTGAACTTGATCAACCTATTTGAAGTGTGAAGTCTCTTAATGAGATGCAAGATGCAAGAAACTTGAAAAACTGAAATTTGAAGAACACATTGGGAACTGCAGTTGAACGGCAACTACCCCACATATCTCTGCCAAAGCTGCGTGGGAGATTTGGCCATTTGAGGGAGGATGGAGCAGCCAATGTGTGCTCCAGCACCACCTTCAGCCATCGCCAGGAACAGTTGCCCTCTTGGTACATTTCCAAAAAGCTGAGCCGAATCAAACATGTCAAACCGTTCGATTCTCTGACGTGAACGAATGGAGGCTGGTGAGTGAATGTGATTCCGAGACGTCTGGAAGCTCAGGCTTTCACTCTGGAAGCGCAAGTTGCTGCTCATGGCCGAATCCACATTGGGATCCTCACTCCTTCAGGACCAATAGGAACAAGAGGACGCCACTAGGAGCAAAGGGCATCACTCACTACTAGTAGCTCCTGGTCTTACTACTAGGAACAAGAAGCTACTAGTAGCATTCAGGACCATTGTTCAAATTTCGAGCCAACTTGCAAGGAAACATCTCTGCCTTGCTTTGCCAAGGACAAGTGTTCCCGGCTTTCTTCCACACTCTTCAGACCCATTTTCGAACCCTCAACACCCATCCATCCACTCCACACGTTCAAGTTGCGCCGAGTGTCTGTTGCGCCTGAGTGTGCAGGACTGGCACAAGTTAATCCCGGTTACACAATCATGACAGAGTTCTGAAACTTCCACATAAGTGATCTGTCAAACACCACATATGCATTTTGGAAACACCTCACATCAACTTCTGACAAGCTTCTGTGGCATTGACAACAATAGGTTCATCTCCACAGAGTGCCCGAATGATGGCAACTCCGTGGACACCAATACCCATCATGGCACCCGTCTTGGAGCAAACCATCTTACCTAAGCTTGCTTTTCCATGCACGATGTTTGCCAGCATGTCCTGCACAGGTACAATCTGCTTCAGATTTTTGTCATGCACCAAGCAGCCTTGCAAGGAGTGCCCAACCGGCATAGTGAGATCGATGTGCTCCACTTTTCCTGCAAAGACACTATGGCTGTGCCACACATGAGAACCGACCCTTCTAGTAGCTTGATGACAAGTTTCATACATGTCGTCCATTGGTTTGTCGTTCAATCGGTCCTACTTTGCCTTCCAGGATCATTTGCCGCACACGTTTGGTCACTGGATGACAAGTCGGATGAGTGCCCTCCAGCAGCACCCGACCACAATCCTGCAAGACGCAAACCTTCAAAACATCATCATAAGTTTTATCGACATGTTTCAAGTAAGTATCATATGTCGTCCCTCTTAAACCATTTAAACAGAAAACCAGGAAGGTAAGTGGTTCACCCAGATGGCATCTTCAGCTGCAGCTGTTTCCGAGTCTCTCACTGTGGGAAACGATTCCTTCGTTTCAACACGTCACAAGTCCTCTGCTGCGCGTTGGGCAGCCACGGCTTCCCATCCGTTCATCACCTGCAATGAAGGACGGTGCAGGCTCTTGGTCTGAAACAAGTTTCATCCAATCAGCACTGCAACAAGGAGCATGTACCAACACCGGAACGACAGTCTGTAGTCTGTATTCCAAAATCGCAAAATCGAAAAATGCAGGGAGGACTTACTTATGAACCAATCATCCGCACTTGGATTTATGATAACTACATCAACGTGAACCACAAACAGTGCTTAGATCTGCGACGTCCTGAACCAAACTGGCGAAATGGGGAGACACGTGGAAGACCAGAACGATGTTGGTGGTTCGGGGAGCAACACTTTCTGCTGTTGCTCAGGGAAAGGAGATGGATCAAAAGAAGGCATAGTCAAAACGAATTTATACATTGGCAGTTTCAGTTGTGACCATGTCAAATACAACAGGACTCAATCACTCATTGACTCATCCAGACAAGCACAGCGTGACAATGAGACCCGTGAAGCCAAGAGTTTCAGCGTGACATGCGTTTTCCACTCATAACGACAGCGTGAAAAACATTGCTCTGACTGAGCCATGACAAGGCGTGCAGGTGTACCTGTGAGACTGTCAGAAGCTGCATCTGCCGAGCGACAGAGGGCGTCTCACACAGCACATGTTTGCCGGCCAAAATGGCTTTCACCGTCCAGTGACAACGGACACCAACCGGCAAGGCGTTGTAGACCTCATCCGACCAAAAAATGATTCCAAATCAAAAAGCAATGTATTTATGTAGTTGTATGTATGGGATTATATGGGTGTGAACCAATAGGGGAGACCAACACATGGGCTTTGGCCTATTGATTCCTTTTGGCAGGGGATCTGTGGGGGGTCATTCTAATTGAATACAGTTTAATACACAAGGAGTTCAAAACTGCTTCGAAGAGACAGCATCAACTGCCGGATCTGCCAAGAGCTCCTGAATGAAGCTGCTCACACATTCTCAAACAACATAATCATAACCGGATAATGAGCACTTCTGGTGCGTGTGCCATTCAGGATGGCCATCTCCTGCCATTTTTTGCGTTTGCGTCTTGAGGCTTGCTGGGTTCGATGCGGCCTTTGAAGCGCTTGCGCTGTGCTTTGCTGTTTCCCTTTTTGTTGGAGGTTGTCCCTCTAGTTGGGTCAGTGTGCTGACAAGGTCAATGAGGTCAGTTTGTCTGTCGATGATCCTTGATGTACAATTGGATCTGTTGTATTTCGGTGGGAAATTGGAATCCCACACAAGCACTACTTCCGAGTCTAGCGTGCACAACAAACTGAATGATGGAATGGTGCACACAACACTGGATATCTCCTCGAAGCCCGCATAGGCCTTTTCAATGCCCCACTCCTGGCAGCATCCAAAAATCAAACAACAGTCGGAAGAACGGACAATATGAAGGTAAGGATCAAAATATTACTGATAAGGCCTTTTTAAAGGAGGCCTTATTGAAGGGGCCCTTGCCTTTCTATGTTCCTTTCCTTTCTTGTTGCAGGTGTTTATCCCTTTTGTCATCGTTGCTGCTCATCCATCGTTCGAAGTTGAGGCTGCGTGCCTTGCAGGCGGCCTCCGCCTCGGACTTCTGCAAGGATGCAAGGCCCACAACGGACACCCTGGAGACGGGTCGAGACAAAAGACCTCCGTTTCGACCTCCTTTTGATGCATTTACCTCCAATATTTGTTTTGTTCAATGTCCGTTTCGAGGTCAATATTCTCCA